TCCTGCAAACTGATTTCCAACTTGGTCTAGCCTGTAGCAGAGACAAGACACTGCTGGTGTGGAAGGGATTGCTTCAAAATCCAGAGGCGTCTGGGAATTGCTGAGTTAGACTGGGAAGAAGAAGAAGACGAAAAGACGTCTAGGGATGCTTGACGGTGGGTCGGTGCTGTGGAGCAACGCGTGTGAAACTCCATCAGGTGGCCTGGATTTGGGAAGGGGGTTTCTCTAGGGCGGGCACACAGTGAAAATTAGGTGGTGGTGGAAGGAGAAGCGAGCCCAGGGGGGCGTCAAGTGGAGGGGGTGGTCAGCTTGGTCATGGCCCCAGGTTGGGCCACCAAGTTTGCTGCAGTGAGCCAGGCTTAGGCCCGTCCCTGCTTCCCTGCGATGGAGCTTGTACCCTGATAATTGCAATGAAAGCAGCAATCAGGTTGGTAATTTCACTGAGCTCTTTTCAGTTCTAATTAACATTATTCATTTCTTGTGTGTCTTGCTGGGTTGAGACAATCTGTGCTTTCCAGCCCAGCCCTCTGGAACACCAGCGATCTGCGTGAGAGGCAACAAAAAAGTGTTGTGTGCCAATTACCGCACTTCAGTAATTAAAAACCTCCTTCCCCCCACTGCCGGGCCACCTCCTCTCCCGTCATTTTCTGTGTGCAAACTTGTGAAAGCAAAGAGAGAAATTCAGGAGGGCATGTCATTGCTGGCGTGTGCCATCTGTGTCTGCGCCGAAAATGCAGGGAGGCACCGGGGGATGTATGAAGCACGGGGCAGGATCAGTGGTCAGGGCGCACTCAGCTTTGGCACCCTGTTGCTTATTTATTCCTGATACTGGATTGTGGTGGCTGCGGTTTGGTCGTGGGCTCTTTGGTAGCAGGTCCGTGTCTGCAAAGCAGCCTGCTCCCCTCTGGCCAGGGCTGTTTTGTCCCCACTGAGGGCTTTGCTGGCATTTTCAGCCCTGCTCATCTTCGTGCTTGTGTTACCTAAGGTGGCAGAAACCTGATGGCGATGCTTTCCCGCTTCCAATTTCATTCTCCAACTGTTGTCCCTGCAGCCGGGAGGGCTGTCAGCTGCTCCCTTGGACCCTTTGCGTGGGGTGTGGAGGGTGCAGGAGGTGTGGAGGACTTTGGCTGTACGAGCTCAGCCTCTCAGGCTGCGGGAACGCCGTCTGGTTTGGGGGAGAACGGCCAGTCGTAATGGACCAGCTTGCTTGTAGAGGACGGTTAGCAAAGCCAAGGAGTTTCGGCTGCAGAGATGCTAACAGGTCTGGAAAGGGCAGCACTAGCCTGCGCCCGTATCCCCTTTACGCCCGCCGTGCATCATTGCCCCGGGAGTGTGGGACAAGGGCATGAACAAGCAGGCTGGGACGAGCGGGGAAGATGCGTGCACGCAGCTCTCGCCTTCGGTCAGTGCACGCAACTGTCTTAAAATACCCAAACTCCATCACTTGTGGTCATTTTGAGGTGCCCTCAGTGGCAGCAGGGAGCAGAGGGTCTGGTGCAGCGTGAGGAGCTACATCTCTCTGCAAACCACCAATGCCGGCCCCCAGGATGATGCAGCAGTGGTGTTTTAGCAGTGTTTCCACCTCCCGGAGGAGAAACCCTGGGGCTTGGGACTCTGGGTGTGGAGGGAAAGAAACAGCAGAGAGAGCGAGCAGCAGCATCTCTTCCTTGTGCTGACAGACAGCAGTTTTTCATCTTCCTGGAGGAGAAGGCCTTGCCTTCCAAGCAGGAACGCAACAAGGATTAAGGATCTTGAGAGAGAAAATTACCTCATCTGTGCTTAACTATTTTTACATCTTCGTTTTGGAGGCAAGTGCTCCGGGGGACCTATCTCTCCCCTCCCTCCCTGGCACATCATAGGGCGAGAGGGAGGGTGAGAGCCTCCAGCGAGGTGGAGGAAGCATCTCTGGGCTTTGCACCTTGCCAGGAGAGGGGTGGAAAGGGGGGAGGCTGCAGGCTCAGCGGTGGCTTTGCTCTCCACCTGTGCTTGGAGCCTGGCTTCCCGGCCAAAGCCAGAGGCTTTCCGCTCGGCTGCCTGCACGCGGGAGAGGAGGGCTTCCCACCCCCGCGCCGGGCTTGTGGAGAGAGGAGCTGCTGGAGGAGGGAAGGGGGAGCAGATGGAGGGGCTGGAAGAGCATCGGGACGCTGCGGCGAGCCTCGGCCACAGGAACCCCGACCGGCGCTTGTGCGAGGAGGAGCAGGGTTGGCATGGTGGTTGGAAGGAGCTCAGGTAGGAGCGCGACCCGCCATCCCCTAAATAGCACACCGTATCCAGAGGTCAAAGTGCATCTGTCCCGGGAGCTGTTTCTGCACTTTATTATATATATATTGGCTTGGGAGCTTTAAGAGGCAGGGAAGGAAATAAAATAACAACTTTAAGCTTGCCGATCCCAGGGACAGAGAAGCGTGTCTAGGTGATAAGAAGAGATTGTGACCGGGTGCTGTGAAGGGCGAAAGCACTTATTTCACTGTTGCCTCATGCGTTACCTGAGTCCCGTTGCTTTTCAAAAGCACTTAAATGCCCATATGATAGAGGGAATGCTTGGATTACACACTGTCTGGCTCCATTATTATCCAGGGATCTCCAAGCTGATGCATTTCACAAAAAAAGTGGTGTGGAGGAAGAGAGAGGAAATATATATTTTTAGTTCAGCCTGCTTACCGGGTCCTCAGGGATAATCTCCGCAGAAGGGACCGGTCCGAGAAATTCAAGCCACGTCTGGCTTCTCATCACCCAGTCCTTCTCCGTGATACGGCTTTGGCAGTAAGGGTGGACACCCCTGCGTTTGTGCAGAAGTGCTGCTCGCTGCAATGGCAGGAGCCTATTTCGTGGCATTGCGATGGGCAGGCCACATCCAAGCATCAGATATCCACCTGCATTTTATTCAAACCCCGCAGGTCTAAGCTACCAGCATAGTTGAGGTCCAGAGTACAATATACTAAAGCCATCCTCTGGGAAGAAATCTCAAGTTTTGTTCAACTTGAGCAACTAAATTCTCAGGTTTTGCTCAAGTTGTAATGCAGCTGAGAGCAAGAGCCAAGTTCTTGGTGTTCAGCCCAGGCTGACTCTATTGCTTTTTTTATGTAGATAATAAAAATCTGCTCACATGTAATTTATTATTATCGTAATATCATTATGGAACGGCAATAAAATTGTTTAATTTATCGGATGTTTTTCACACCAGAGAGGGAGGATGGTGCAGTAGCTTGGGTACGTGCCTAGCAAATCTGCAGGGGAGTCCTGGGCTGTAGACTACCCATCTCGCCTTGGGCATGTCGCCTCATGGGGATCCGTCATCGCTAACCTCCAAATGTTGTGTGTGGAGGCTTGAAAGGGTTATTTAGGCTTCTCCTGTAATTACTGGGGCCAAAGAGATACCTCCAAAAGAGGTTAGATGAGATGAGACAGCTCGTCCCCGGGTGGGTACCTGTGTCTTCGCTGGCACCGGTAGCGGACACGGGAAGGGAAGCAGCCCACCAGCGAGGAGACAGACGGGCAGATGCAGGGAGAGAGGCTGTAGACGGCTGCGTGAATCTCAGCGAGGACTCGAGCTGTCTTGCAGGTTGCTTTTATTATTACTACTTACTCGGTGGCTCTGCCCAAGTGTGCTCACCTTGAGAAACAATCCCTAAAGTGTCAGGATAAGTCCCTGATGGACCGCACGCCACAGTTACACTTGTCCTTGCCGTTAACTCCTCTGCTATTGCGGTCTGGCGCATATAGCCCATTAAGCCCCTCGCATTTGGCGAAGTTACCCCGTGCAAGACGTCCCAGAGGCTGCCGCGCTCTCTTTCGGTGCCTCCGAAGTTAATTTGTATCCCGGCCACTGCACAAGTAATGAAGTAGATTGGGGAGAATATAAACAGTGGATCTTAGGCTGAGCGGTTTGATGTAGGGACATTATCCTCCGTTGCCGGCATCCAGCAAAGCGCGGCTAAGTCCTCACAGCTCTGTAATCCCAAACTTGCTCGGAGAGAAGCGGGGTTTTAACTGGCTCGGGGGTATGCGGGTTTCTGCTGCCTAGGGAAGGGCTTGGACAGCAGGCCCTGTGTTCTTCAGCTGTCTGGAGACGATTCAGGGAAATGGAGGATGCAAACCTTGCTTGGGGACATGGGAACGGAGGGTTGCAGGGCTGGCAGGTACCATCGGGGAAGCAAGACTGGCCTCTGCTACTGTGGGCAAAATAATCCCCTTCAGGAGCAAAGTCTCTTCTTAGGTTTGTGCTGTGTTCTCTTCCGGGGGGGCTCAGTTTCCTAATGAGGCTGGAAATAGAAGATTTCTGCCTCCAAAACATCGCTTGATAGGTGAAGTGCTTAGCTGGGGTAAGGTGCAGTAAGTGAGGGAGATGCAGCAATGCAGATGATGTGTTTTTTTTGTAGGGAAGGAAGAGCTGACAGAGGGGACAAATGGTAGGAAGCTCAAGGTTTCTCTTTAGAGGTGTGTCAGAGCTGGCTTTCTCCTGAGATAAATTTTCCTTGCTCCTTTGTGAAGCAGTGCAAGCTGCTTTCCCGGCTCCACTTTGCATTCCTTTGCCTGGCTGCAAGGATACAAAGGTCTGCAGAGAGAATGACAAGTGGTGGGTTTGGGCAGGAGGTAGCAACCTGCATCCGCCCCAGAAAAGTGTGGTTTGGACTCAGGATGGAGGTTTTGGCTCAGCTCTGGTTGTCTCCGAGTTTGCAAAGAAGCAAATGGGAACGGAGAAGCAAAAGGTCCTTCGGTGACTGGTGCCGGGTGGCTCTGACCTCTCTACGTCTGAAATCATTGTGAAAGCTCGTAGGCAAATCTCTGGAGCCACCAGTTTAGATGGATTTCGGTGCGCTGAGCACCGCAGGTAAAGTGCTGACATCGTCCTCTTTGGACACTGAAAGCACTTGGTCTCTGAAACTGCTGCTGGCAGCAAAGCTAAAACTAGTGCCAGGAGGACCAGGAGGGGCTGGGGAAGGGAGGGCAGAGCGCCCAAGAGCAGCGCGCTGATGGGTCACCTCTCTGCCTCTCCCCAGGTGCTCCGTGGATAACCGAGTCACCCGAGTGGACTGGCCGAAGCGCATTTTTCCGGCAATGACAAGTGGTGCTTGGACCCTCGGGTGGTGCTCTTGGCCAACACCAAAACCCAGTACAGCATCCAGATCCAAGATGTGGACGTGTACGATGAGGGCCCCTACACCTGCTCTGTGCAGACAGACAATCACCCCAAGACATCGCGTGTCCATCTCATCGTGCAAGGTAAGAGGAAGGGAATTCGTAGAGGGGTTGGGCTTGGTGCTTTGATTTCTGTTCCTCCCTTTTTCCCCTATGTGTCTTCTCCTCCTATTGCTCCTACGTTGAGCATGTAAGACAACTTGGTGCAAACGTAGAGGCTGATCAACAGGCTTGGAGAGTCCCAACGAAGCTGGGCAATGAATGCATTTATCGAACTTTCCTGGAGTAGTCGTGGGGCTCTGATACAGGCAGCTCTGCCTCCCGAAGTAGTGGCTGGCAAACCCATGTTGCTGTTTGTTGTTGTTGTATTTTGATGGGTTTTTTTGTTTTCCACGCTGGAGGCAATGCTCGAAGTGAAACTTGTGTTGGGGGAAAAGAGAGAGCTGGCAGATTTGTGTACTTCGCGGGGGTGTGTGTATGCCTAGCAACAATACGTGTGTTGAAACTCTGTACTTCTGTGAGGAGGAGGAGGAGGAAGGCCGGCATGGGGTGGTGGAGCGGTTGCGGTGGCCAAGTGTGCGCTCGCTGGCACATAAGCGTGCCTCGCTGAGGCTGCACAGTCTGCGGGGTGCATACGTGCGCTCTTCAGCAAGCGTGCAAGCACACGCGGGCTCTCGCGAGGGGACGTACAAGCACGGCCACAGGCGACGGTCAAGCAGATGGGCGTTCATGCAAGATAGCTCCCATGTCCGTGCTGCGGGACTTGGTGGGGACGTGCGCTGGGCAATGGGGAGCCCGCGTGGTGGGACATACGGGGCCTGCTGCGCTCTTAGGGAGGCAGCCTCAGGGAAGATTAATGGAAAATTTCTAATCCCTTGCTAGGAACCTTTTTTCCTCTTTCTTCTTCTGTGATTTGGCCAGGAGCCGTCTTAGCATGACACACCAGCTTGAGTATTGGAATCTCGTCTCCGGCTAATTTTCGAATGCTGATGGGTGTATTGATTTGGAAACAAGCTGGGTTAAAAAGTCTTGTACACAGAGTCAGGTTGAGCTAATTCGTCGTCGATATGCCAGGCCTGAGCGTTATTGACAGCCTAATGAATAGAAGGGGGGAAAAAAACCCAAACCCAGGGCCTTTATTTCCCCCCTCCCTCCCTCCCTTTCCATTTTCTCTTTCCTCTTCAAGCAATCAAACAAGCTAAACAGAGCTGGACTTTCTCCATCTCCATTAACCACAGAGAGAAAGTGGATGCATTGCCAGCCCGGGTCCTTGCTGTTTATCTTGCAATCTGTTAATACCTGCCTGAGTTTCTTAAGCCAAAGTCGATCACCCGCAAGTTCTGAAGTCGCTATCAGGCGCTGGGGTGATGCAGGACAATTTCTATCAGCTTTTTTTCCTGTTTCCTGACCTAAATTTCCCGTATCACCAGACATCCAGGTCCATCCCTCCTGTGTCTTGCTGTATCATTAGGAAGAGATGTGTGGGTAATGGAGGAAAAGCTCATATCTTAACTCCTTGCAGCGGTACAGTTAAGTACTGGAGGATTCAGTGACGGGCTCAGTCCTGTAACGCGCCGAACATCCTCGCCGCTGCCGACAGAAATACCGGCTCTCAGGAGCGGGCCCCGAATTTCAAGAGCTATTGCTTGGCTCACCCAGCCCTTTCTCGGGCGGGAGGTGCCAAGAGCGTAATGTGCAGCAGCGCGCTGGAGCGGGACATGAAAGTGAATATCGTGTCCAGTTAAAGGGCAGCCTGCCTTCATAACCCCGATTAAAATTTGGCTGGGGTGCCAGGATTAACTCTCCTGCCTTGGAAAATGGGCCCAATCAATATGCAAGCTGGTATAATCCTGTCCTAAAAGACATTCAGCTTGCGGGAAGCAGTGCTTATCCCTCTCTCCCAGGAAAGCAGGGTGTCTGAGCGCCAGATTTCAGGGACGTGCCAGGTTCAGCGCGTGGCTGCGGGACCTCTTGCCCCTCCCTGCAGCCTGATAGGAAAGGAGAAGCGGTGAGAGGAGGTGGGAAAGGGGGTCTCCCCTTTTAAACAGGGTTAGTCCAGGTGCAGCCAGAAAGAGGAAGGTGTGCAGGTTGCTCTTAGCAGGTCCTGACTTTCCCCTTGCTGCACCAGCAAAGGGCCTGGGCGCAGAGCTCTGGAGGCAGGAGCACTCCAGCTTCTCAGGATGCAATTAAATCGTGCCCCGGGGCAGGCTGTGCTCTCCAAAGGGACTGGCCACGGGGAGCAAGGAGCTCTTCCCCTTCCAGCCGGGATTTCAGCAGCCTGCTGCTCCCCCAGGCAGGCGTGATGGGTGCGTATCGGCCACGGTCCAAACAACCTCAGCCCACGCCGTGCATCCCTCCTCCTCCCCGAGTTTAGGGGATATCGCTGGGAAGTGGCCATGGATGGGAGGGAGTGAGGAGCTGGGGCATCCCTGGTGTCTGCCAAGGGCCGCTGGAGGAAGCGGTGCTGTGGGTGGAAAGAGCAAAGAACAGAAGAGGGAGAGGGGTGGGAAAAGGAGCTTCCTCTAGGGTGTGAGGGTTGGGGATGATCCCCCAAGGCAGTGGAAGAGAATGACCTGGAAAACCACCAGGAACCAAGGATGTCCACGCTGCAGCTAGGGAAGTGCTGCACATTTATTTCTAGGTTGACTATATTGATGGTTGAGATCCCAAAATAGGTGGGTAGAAGGCACCTCAAGAGCTAATTTAGCCTGTCCCCCTGCAACGAGGCAGAGACATCGCTGGCAAACACATGTGAAAGCTATTCTTGAAAATCCTTAACAAAGCAGGTTCTTCAGTCTCCCTAGACGATCTATTCTACTGCTTTGCTACCTTTATAATTAGAAAATGTATAGCTAATATCTAACTTAAACCTTCTTTGTTGCAAATGAAGTGGAGCTTTTCTCAGCCTATCCCCAGCGGACGTGGGGAACAATTGATCAATGTCCTCCTTGTAACAACCTTTAGCTTTTGGGAAGGTTGTTACCGTGGCTATACCCCTTAGCCACCTTCTTTCTGAAATGATGCAAGCCCTGTTTCTCCCACCTTTCCTTGTCGGTCAGGCTTTCAGAAACACTTGTCAGTCTTGCAATTCTGCTACAAAAGGCAAAAGGTTGTTCCTGCCGATCCAGGAATAGCAGGCCGGTGCATCTCTCCTTCCCGCTGCCGGTGAGCCTCTGCACTAATGTGGGACAAACGAGCCCAGGAACGAGACAACAGACCCTTGGCGTTGAATGCTTCAAAGTCCAGGCCTGCTATTTCGGGGACTGCTTTAAATGGGGTCAGGCTCAGCGTTGGCGATGCCAAGTTGATGTGAGCTAACAGCTTAGCTGCAAAAGGTACGAGGAGGTTCTTTGCACCTGGATCTCCCCAGGAAAGAAGATCCCAGACTACAGCTGGACCTAAAATGAACAGCTCAGAGAGCGCCCATGTCATCTGCAGTGTCTGGAAGGTGGCCCCTGCCTGTCGCGCTCGCTCAGCCCTCATTTCTTCTTAGGAGGAGTTACCATAAGACCAGACAAAGCATAGGGAAGCAGCACTGCCCGTGTTGGCAGGAGTTCGCTTCGGACCCTTGGGAAGAGAGAGGCGTTTCTGGGTGAAAATCCCAAAGAGACAGAATCCAGGGAAGTTCCACTTGCAATAGGCCAGCTCTGAACTTGGAGGGAGGCAGAAAACCAGAGCGAGAAAGAGGACTTGGGCCCCATTGACCTCTGAGGAGCGATGCTTTCCTTTCCTCTCCTCTCCTGTATCCCACTCTGGTTTCCTTAGCAAGTCCCGCTTCTTCCCCCTGCAGCAGCAGCAGCATCTCGGGCGCAGCCTCCCCCTTCTCCCTGCTCCTGGTAGGACACTTCAGCTATTTAAGCTGTTCTCTGGGTTCCTGGGTTTAAAAGAGAGAGGGGAGGGAGGAGGAGGACGGTGTCTGGAAAGCTCTTATTTGTATTGATAATAAGCCGTCTCCAATGCACGCCTGCAAAACACTCCCACTGCCTTGTAAGATGCATTAAGGAAAGATGGCCTTATCTCAGCGCGGGAAATGGACTTGGGGAAGGAGGCACGGTGCCTGCCGGAGTTTAATCTCACTTAGGCACACAAATTTGCATGATAGAAAATGGTGGAATTTTAGTGCTTAGAAAGAAAGAAAGAAGGGGAAGGGAAAAAAAAAAAAAGGCAGGCAAGTGGGGGATATTAGGCTTTCTCGCTTCTTTATCAGTTTCCCTGGCCCTATCTGGCTCTTTCTGTTGTCACTGGAGCAACTAATCACCCCCCCTTTTGT